TTTAGTACGCAACACCTACGCACACAAACACAATCACAAGTCCCGCACATACACGCAAACATAAGCAATGATTGCAGTTTTTGTATTTTGTTTTTTTTTTTTTTTTTTCGTTATTTTTTTAGTATTGATTTTCTCACGCACACATAGACTCACCCGCCTTGTTGCGCGTGCTAATTGTTGCGCCTTTGTCAAGCAAGGACGAGCACAACTTCAGCAGCGTCGCAGCACCGTCCTTGTACATACAAATATAGAAAACAAGTGGAACAAGCAACAGCCACAACAACAACAACCAGAACAACAAAGCAGCAGTGCACAATAGGATGGGCGAAGCGGTATTTCGAACGGAACACTATTGAGTCGTTGTTGGTGCTTTATATATTCAAACGCAAAAGATCAAATTCAGTTTAATTTCGAACAATTTTACACTATTTGAGACACATATTTTCGCTGGTATAGAGTCGCTTGGAACAAATTCACTCAAACGACTCAGGTAACTAAACCAAGCGAACTTGTGTAAAATGGTTTGCTCATCTAGTTCGTTTTTCTGCTTCTGATTTAACAGAATTGTGGACTGTTATTGGTGATGTGTTATTAAAATAAAATGTTGTATTTATAAAGTATTTACCAATACTAATTATATATATTTTTAAAATCATCGACGATTGTCATAATATATCTCAATAAAATAAGTATATATCTTCTACTATATATATATGTATAAGTTCTTACGATTTAAATTTTGAATGTACAGCTGTTATGTTAATAGCAACAGAAAAAATACCATAGAACGAATTTGAACGTTTCTCTACACTACGCGGGCGACAATTGCAAACGAGAAGAGGCAATAAGAAGAAAGAATATATTTTTTTTTAGCTAGTTTATAAATTGGCAAATTTTCAGTTAAATATATACATTTACATTCAGTGCACATTTAGGCTTCTAGGCTTCAATTCCGCAGGTAGCCATGCAGGTGAGTCTTGCAACGTGCACACCAGAACTTAAGTAAATGCAGCGAACTGTCTATAAACGAAACGTTGGCAAAAGGGACACGCAATCAAATTTTGTTTATGTTCTTTTCTCTTTTTATTTTATAATATTTAATTTTTCTAGTGGACGGTGATGTTGACGCTGCTTGCCAGCAGCAGCGTCGTCGTCATTGTTGATTGCTTTTATGTGCCCGGCGTGGCACCCGTAGAGTTCGTGCGTGGACAAAAAATCGATGTTAAAGCGGTTAAAATGACCAGCAGCCGAACCCAGCTTCCTTATCAGTATTATTCACTGCGCTTCTGCTATCCCAAGAATGGAACCCTAATCTTCAAATCAGAGAATCTCGGTGAAGTTCTGCGTGGTGATCGCATAGTGAACACACCCTACGAGGTTCAAATGGCCGAGGACGTGAATTGTAAGCTGCTCTGCAATAAAAAAGATTTACCCATGACCTGGAGTAAAGAGGATTCGGCAATGGTTGCTGAGCGTATACAGCACGAGTATTTTGTTCACTTGCTAGTGGACAATTTGCCGGTGGCGACACGCATTGTCAGTGCAACGAATCCCGCTGAAGTGACGTACGAGCATGGGTACCGATTGGGACAAGTGGATGGCGATAAAATCTACATTAACAACCATCTGAAGTTCATTCTCTCCTATCACATGTACACAAAGGATAAATATCGGGTGGTTGGGTTTGAAGTGATAACTGGGTCCGTTAGCCACAAGGAACTCAAATTTGAGGGCGACAGCTGCAATTTCCCCGACAGTCCAAGTCCACAGCTTGTTAATCCATCAGGCGAGACGCAGCTCTACTTCACGTACTCTGTTGTTTGGAAGGAGTCTAAGGTTAGCTGGGCCTCACGCTGGGACATTTATTTGGGCATGCGCGATGTGCAAATCCATTGGTTTAGCATCATCAATTCGCTGGTCGTCGTCTTCTTCTTATCGGGTATACTCACCATGATCATGATACGCACTTTGAGGCGGGATATTGCTCGGTATAATACGGATGATAATATCGAGGATACGCTTGAGGAGACCGGCTGGAAGTTGGTCCATGGCGACGTATTCCGACCGCCCAAGAACACGCGCCTCTTCTCTGCTATCATTGGCAGCGGTATCCAGATCTTTTTTATGGCCTTGATTACGATCTTTTTTGCTATGCTTGGCATGCTGTCGCCCTCGTCACGTGGGGCTCTCATGACATCCGGCATTTTTATGTACGTTTTCATGGGAACCATTGCCGGGTACTATGCGGCGCGTCTGTACAAAACGATGAAGGGAAGGGAATGGAAACGGGCTGCCTTCCTAACTGCCACACTCTATCCGGGCATTGTGTTTGGGTGAGTCTGGTCTTTGGTTTTAAATTGAATTGTACTTATATGTATTTTTATTCATTGCAGCACGGGATTCATTTTGAACTTTTTCATTTGGGACAAATCCTCGAGCGGCGCTGTGCCTTTTACCACAATGATATCGCTGTTGTTGCTGTGGTTCGGCATATCTGTGCCGCTCGTTTATGTAGGATTCTACCTAGGCTATCGGAAGCAACCGTATCAGCATCCAGTGCGAACGAATATGATACCACGCCAGGTGCCCACGCAGCATTGGTATATGAATGCAGCCTTGAGGTCGGTTAGCTACTTACCCCCAATGATAATCGTAACTAATCGTTTCTCCTTTACAGCACCTTAATGGCTGGTATCTTGCCATTTGGCGCCGTATTCATCGAGTTATTCTTCGTTTTTACGGCCATTTGGCAGAATCAATTTTATTATTTGTTTGGTTTTCTGTTTTTGGTGTTTTGTATTCTAGTTGTTAGCTGTGCTCAGATCTCCATCGTTATGACCTACTTTCAGCTGTGTGGCGAGGTATATATATCAAAAGACTCGACTGCTGATAATGCTCTATTAATTTTATTATCTTACAGGATTATCGCTGGTGGTGGCGGAGCTTTATTGTCTCTGGTGGCTCGGCTGTGTATGTGCTTTTCTATAGCATATTTTATTTTTTTACCAAGCTGGAGATTACAGAATTTATACCCACACTGCTTTACTTGGGTTACACAGGTGCGTCATTCCTGTATACATTGCAGTCATTTGATAATAATTTGTTTATTTTTATTAGGTCTAATGGTGCTAACGTTTTGGCTATTGACAGGCTCCATTGGCTTCTTTGCTGCCTATGTTTTCATACTTAAAATCTATGGTGCCGTGAAAATAGATTAAACCATCCACTATCTGGCACACAATGCTGTACACCAAACTATCCCTGCAATATCATTTGATCGTAATACTTATTACCTATAATATAATATTTATATACAATATACATATGTATATACATATGTATATATGAATGAGTCTATAAAGAAAGGCCATGTGTAAAATCTTGTTTAAGCTATTTAGCCCTCTTCTCTCTTAACTAAGTGTGCTATAAGTTTACTTTACCTGCTGCTGCGCCGCTTTAATTAACGACAAAAACACCGATTGAGAATCTTTACTAAGAGTTAACGGGCGTCGCTCAATTTTCGAGTGCATTGCGTAGATAATATTCTAGAAAAGCCTAATTTATATATGTATTGTAAAAACAAAATCCTAATCGTAAGCTAAAAACAACCGGAAATCTAATAAATGTAAGCTAAGTATAGATGGCGACCAAGTGATTAAAGTAAAATTATTTCTCTAAGATCTTGTAATGTTTATATGCTCTTGAGATTAGGTCATCCTCCACTATAACTGTGCCTAATAACATTAAACACATTGAATAGAGCCTAACCTCTTCGGTAACACTTGCACTTGCATTCGCTAGGGGTTAATGAGACCATATCACCTTCGTTATTAGTTAATACTGCGGAAGGTCAGGAGCTGGCTGGCTTTTTGTTCATTAACAGATAGTTGAGAATAGAATCATAAACTAGAAACAACGACTTTATTCTGTTCCTGCTTATCATCTTTAAATTATATACATAATATATATAAATAATTTTAAATATTTATTTGATCAGCTTTACTGTTTCTTAGTCAAATTCTACTTGGTGTTCGCAGATAAATATTTGTGTCATTGCTCAAACTAAGCTCGTAAAAGGCCTTTTAGAATCCGCAGGAAATTGCATTACTCAGGCGCATTTTGACTTCGCAGCAACAGCTGTTATAACATATGTGCAGCTTTCCAGCAACTTTGTTGCTTTTCAATAAATAAAACGATTGTGCGGCACATATGTAGCTTGACAGTAGGATAGAAAAAGCCACAGACGGTGGTTGTAAGGTGTGCCAAAAGTCGCACAAAATGTTGAAAATAAGTATATTCATATTCATGTGTTTAGTTCGCATTCAACAATCGCTAGCACGGAGTAAATTTTTCAACTATCACATAGTGAGTCGATCTTCTTAAATGCAGTTTAAATACAGTAGTTCCTGTATAATACATATCATTGATCCCTTTTAACAGACACGTGATTCTTCAGATAAACATCATATCGTTGGGAATATCAGCTATGCGTTGTTTAGCATGGCTGAAACAGTTTTTCCACGTTGGTCGCCCTCAAAAGATCGAGTAACATAATGGACTGTAATTATACATAACTATGTATCCATCAATATATACACACGTGTAGTTATGTACATACATTTAAATGAATTTATTTATATATCGATTATAGCTACATATATAAATTGGCATAGCGCAAACTAATTGTAAATGTATTCAACTTTTTATTTCCCTCAATTTTTTAGTATTTTACACAGAGATAATTTTAAATCTAGGCTATAAAATATATGTAGATCGTATCGTATCGTATACACATGTACTATGTGAGGCTAGTGCTAATTTAGTTTAGTTTAGTTAATGCACAATTTAATATGTATTGAAGTATTATTTTTCTTTAGCTTGGGGGACGACACGAACCGCATTCTCAATGTGAGCATTTACCATAGTTCTGCTTGAACAGCACTCATTTTATTATTCTTATTTTTATCCTTTTTTTTTTTTTTTTTTTTTTTTTTTTTTTTGAAGGAAAAATTTATGCGCTAGTTATAGGGATAGTAACTTAAGTTATTCACTTATAATCAACTGACAAAGTGTTCCTAATTCTTCCTGACTTTCTGCTTATTTTGTGGACGACCTCAATGAATGGTGTACGAATCGGTTCACCTCAGCGGGTTCCGATTCCTTAAACGCTAGCGATTCCGTTTGGTCTTACGGCTGACATTTCCTTCGATGATAATCTGGATAGATATAGTTAAAGTATAATAGATTTAATTAAGATTTTACGCAATCATTTTAGTTTTCTCTGAGCTTTTTTCTTGGGCAGTACCAAATTATAGGGATACTTAAATTGCTGTGGGCGTGGGTTGCAGCTTATTAAATAATAACGCTATATATATCGAATATGCATGTACCTGTAGTATCTGGCTGGCTTCAAAGCAAGTGCCCGGAAGCAATATGACTGGGGAGCTGACATTGCCAGCCTCTACGCATAGCATGTTGGGAAACTCATCGTCACCAAAGTCGCTCATTTCTCGCGACCGATCGATCCATGGATTCCAAATAACTGCAATTCGTTACAAAGTTTCAAAGTGTTACAAGCTTTTAGATATTTACCAAATTTAAATTCATGATCTTCGAACCACACACAACAAGAAGATCTTTGGTGCTCTTCGAGCCACACTTTAGTTATATAGTCAAGGAAAAAAGGCAACATACACCACCAATTTTGCGACAAAGCAATGTGGGTATGTCATCATATATGATTTTAATGGATAAGTTTAATCCAAAAAAAAAAAAAACAAGTAAGGAGGCTCTAGTCGAGACTGCTCGATTAGGAGAGATACTGCACGTCTTTTATGCACATATACATACGTACACATGCATCCACACGCACGCATAAGCAGACACTCTGCATGCAAAATTTCAGCTCCCTAGCTCTTATATCTTCTGAGATCGGCTTGCTCAAACGGACGGATGGACGGACGGAAAGGGCTATATCGACTCAGTTCATCGTCCTGATCAAGAATACATATACTTTGTGGGGTCTGCCACGCCTCCTTCTGCCTGTTACATACATTTCAACAAAACCATTATACCCTGATTTCCCATTGAAAATGGGTTTAGGGTATAAAAAGGCTAAGGCTAAAAGGCTAGCAGAAACCGAAAAAGATAGCACCAGTAACAGTAATAACACTACATAACTTAACTTAACTTAACTTAAAGAAACTTAACAGGAGCTTTAACTACTGAATATTTTAAAAGTCAGCTGAGTCAACAGGTCCCTTTAACATTGTATACCTGTTTTATGACCTTTATCACTAGTCATATAGCTAGTGATTTTATACGTCATGCGCAAATATCATTCAAGACGGCACATAAACAGTAACCTCACTCACCTGTATCTGGGAAATTGTATTTGTGCAGCCTCATCTTACGCCCAGATACTACATTCGTTATCACATGCTCCTGTGGCGTATGCTGATAGATGCGATCTGTCCACTCGTTGACAGTGACCACCTCACGACCCTCCTGAAGGTAATACAGGGTATGCAACTTTAAATGTCTATAAATTAATAATATAGTGAGTCAGCTAAAGCTCTACCTGATACAGAGCGCCCTCGCGTGTCTTGTCTATAAAGTGGCAGCCCTGAAGTCCAGTTATCTGACATCGTCGAACATCTGGAACTTTTAGATAGGTGTGCAACAACATGTTGAATGTGAAACTCAGATCTTTGCTAGGATTATAAACGCCGATGTGAAAGTGTAGTTCCTTTTCACGCAGAATCAAGCGATAGGTTATCCGAAATCTGCACATAATAGAAGAATGAATCAACCTCAACTGACAGGCTTGCCAGACACCTACTGATAGTTCCATATAGAACGCGTAAACTCATTGTCCATCAGCGAAAATATTGCCTCCACATCGCCATTGTGTAGTCGTTCTGGGGCTCGATCCAAATGCCAGCGTGTGATTCTTGCAAAGCCGTGCTGTGGACCAAAGGACCAGGGTCCAAATTGTGCTACAATTTTTAAAGATTTTCGCAGATATGTGATGTAGTTATACATATATAATGTATGTACTTACGAAAAACAAACGGTATACCCCCGCGTATAGCCTTTTTACCATCAAACGATGCCAACTTGCTGAAAATGGCAGATAAAATATGTATTGATTTATTTTTGTTTTGATTGTCTACGCAATATTAAAATTTCTCATAATATATCATTTTAACTAGAACAACACGACCCAAAAGACCTGAAAGGAGCTGAGCAGTAAATCGCTTTGGATGGGGTTTTTCATGGGGTTTTCAGAAAATAGTTAGCTTATGTGCCACGCCCCCCAAAGATAGGCGCAATTATCTAAACTTCGTATATTTTCAGATATCAGATTCGGTGAAAGTGCAAGAACCTAGAGAAGTCAATCAGAAGGCCAAAGCCATCTCTAAGCAGATAGCATGAATTTATATTTTTCTGCTAAATTTCGATTTCGATTTGTGTTAAATTTGAAGAAGTTTGCTTTTAGTTTCATTTGTGTTGTCCGTTGCGCAGATTGCGAAGCCTTTTAGAGCTAGCAAAGCATCTTTGCCGAGTTGAGACATAAAAACGCGCGCAGACATTCAGAAATTTCTGAATCTCTTGCTTGAGCTGCGGATGGAGGAAAAAAAGTGTCTGGCCATTGGCGTTTGGCTGGCAACTTTTTGCTCAGTGATTCAGTTGGCCCTTTTAGGTTTTTTTGCGTGCGCTAATTTGCCGACGCATCCATCAACTGGGTTGGCTCTGCGCCTTTGTGTGCTCCAAGAACCTGGAGAGGCAATTGTGTCATTAATATTGTCAGGTTGTTGGCCGTGCAACGTACATCGGATCAGTTTTGCGCGGCACTTTGAGGAATTCAACCAAGTGGCATTTATTGTGGCAACTGTTTAAGCATTAGCTACTGAGCTGCCTGCTTTGATTTTCTGTTTTAGTTTACCCAATCCTCAAATTCCCCCACTTACTCTCACTCACTCCTCGCTCTCTCTCTCTTTCTCTCTCTCCCTCTCTCTCTTTATCTCTCATTCTCCATATCGCTCTGTATCTTTCCGTTACCACACGTAGCTCCTTTTGGCTTGCACACTCGAAAAAAAGTGTCCCTGGTTTTTTGTGGAACAAAACTTCAACCTCAACTCAACTCGCTGCAGTTTTTCTGTTAGTTCTTCGCCGCTGTTGCTGGGTTTCCAAATGCCAATGAACAAAACAAAAAAGGAAAAGAGTAATAAAAAAAATATAAAAAAAATGAACGCAATGTGTAACGAACATTCGGACAAACAGACGAAAATGTTGAGAAAAACTTAAAAGCTAAGCAAAGAAAATGTTACGTGCCACAAGAAAAATAAGTCCCAACGTTACCATACCCTGTAAATAGTCTTGGCCATATATTTCGTATTTCTAAACTTCAATATTCCTCGAATTTTCAACAAAGTAGAGATTCTCAAACTGATTTCATTATTAATTAATTAAGCATTTATGAGTAAAATCCCTTTTATGACCTGGTATGGCAAGGTGTTTAGAAAGTGGCAAGCCTCAGCAGCAGCTGGTGCCAAGACGTTTTAGACCACCACGACGCCACAATCCAACGTTTTGGGCCACTGTGCAAGCCGAAGCACAGTGTACATGGCACATCATGTAGCCGTAGTCGGGATTTATCGATCTAGATGCCGCGCCAAAAAACTCCATTCATAAAAACCAGCACATTGTTTTCCTCGTTGTTGTTGTTGTTTTTGTCGCTATCGTTGGTTAGAGCAGGATAGCGTACGCAGCAAGAAAGCGGCCCTCAAAGCTGCCCATGCCGCAGATTACGAATTGTGCATGTGCAGCACGCGCTCTCTTCGGCAAACTCTTGCTCTCTCTCACTTACTCTCGTTCTCTCATGCTGCGGCGCTCTTGCCTCTCTTTGGTCGGTTTTTGTGCGTCTCTTTTGGCTCGTTTCGTGTTTTTGTTGTCGTCTATCAAGCGAAAACATTTTGCCGCCAAACAGAATGGCTAAGGCTGCCCAACAAGCATACGCCTCTGTTCCTACTGCAGGGCATCCTTTGTGGCTAGCTTACGTCCAAGTGAGCGTGTGCGTATACCTGTGTGCTCGTGTGTGTTGGCTTGCATTCGTCTGTAGAAAAGTTTTTCCCAACACTTTTTTGGTTGCTCACCGTTAGTTACCGTAGACTTGCGTAAGTTGCTTCAACTTCAAACGGTTGACTGTGCGCTTTGAGCTTAAAGTAGCCAGTACGGCGTATGCGTAATGTTAAAAAAGCTTACCTAACAAACAACTGCTCCTGATTATTAACACGCCAAGACACAACAGTCGCACCTATTAATAAATATATATAAAAATCATCAGTAACAAAATTAATTAATGACATTTTATTAGAAGCAATTATAAATACCTACAATCCTGTGTTAATAGCTATATATACATACATATATGTAGTTGTAAGAAAATCACGACTTCTAACACACTTGTATGCTACCAAAAATGAAACAAAAATTCTACTATGCTTCCATGTTAATAATCATTTCTAAATATTTTAGTAGTGTACAAAACGTTTTAAATATTTAAGTGTATTTACTTATTAGTTAGTATCAACAACATCTGCTTATAGCACGTTAACATCAAAATTGCCATTTGTATATAAGTTTTTGCATTAACAGCTTAGACTTAATATTTTTTTACAGTTAACTTGAACTCATTTGCTAATATCTCTTTACCACTGTTAAGAGACTAGTACCGTTCACATAGTATTCTGGTATGACGTTGGCATTAACTGAATCCTTTTGTCTCACAAATTGAACAAATAATTACTCATATGTAAATTACAAACTGAATTAAAATGCTGGCAACTATGACGCACACACACTCTCACACATAGACACAAAAGACTCGTCTAACCCACTATACCTTCCAGCTAGAGGGAACAAGAGAGAGACTCCCAGCTCCAATAGCCATTCGACTATTGGGTGGGTGCAACACGGCTGCGTGTGGGTGTAGATGTGTGTGTGTATATATATACATATATGTGAGTTTGTATGTACGATGAGGCCTGTTTTTAGCCGTAAGCCTGCCTCCGTCTAAGATTCGTTCAAAACTGCAGAATTCAAGTTGCAGAAAAAAAAAACAAAAACAAATATATTAAGCAAGCGGAAATCAAAACTCTAGCATAAAGTTTAAAGTTTGACTTGACTGGAAAAAAGCCTGGCTGCCAGTTGGATCGCATTTTGTGGTGGTATGGAATATGTATCTCTGGCTGCGACTCGAAAACCGCGTCGCAAAACGCAACGTGGGCAGAGCGAACGAGTCGTCGTAATTGTTGAAAGTGTGCTCTGTACATAGAAATATGTACCTATATATACATATAAATATATATAACGCCTAATCGAAATGTGTTGCGAGTAGGTGACAGACATGACGATCATTCAGCATAGGCAAACAGAAAGAGAGAGAGAGAGAGAGAGGAGAGAGAGAACGAGTAGAGCATAGATAGATCATTCACAATACTGATAAGATAGTAGGAAAGCCACTTGAGCGGGTTACACTGTCTATTTTGAAATGGCTGCAAAGTAAACTTAATACACGCTATTTGCAAGGTTAACTAGGTTACCACCATATTTTACATTGGGCGAAAATAAATACAGTAACAGAAACAGGCAATCGCTGTTGGTCAGTAAAAGAATTCCTGATTTATAACTCTAAACTGAACACCTTTGTTAGCTTTTAGCTACTTATTTTCCATTTAACCGGAAAAAGCTGGTTACCAAAAGCTATAAATTAAGATCCAGTTCAATTCAATTTTGAGTAAAACCCAGCGTTTTTTCGCTGTGTATTTAAGCTCCGATAACCTCTACGGGCTGCATAAATTGTTGACGCAGCCTAACTCTATAAAATGAAAGTCCATAAAGCGATTAACAAACAACAGCAACAAAATACATTTTTTTTAAATATTGCTAATCATGCGCTAAAAATAACGCCAACGATTTTCTGAAGAGCTCCAAAGCAACGAAAAACTGAAGATATATTCAATGCGAATTGTTGTTGCATTATGTTTTGGTAAATTATGATTAATTATAAACACATATACAAACACACTTACCATGCAAGTTGATTGTGCATGTCGTATTATTGCCACGATCCAATACAACAACACTGGTGGCTGCCACGGCAGCCGCAGTCGTGGCCATTTTGCTTACACGTAACGGTTCTGTAAGTTTGACTGTTGTTCCACCCTATTGGTTGCAGCTGCAGCGCCCCCTATGGTCGATCAATCTTATCTCAAGGTAAATTACTTGATCTTTTTCAAAAAGGATCTATATTTTTATGTAGTGCTATTTTGTTATTATGAAGCTGTTGAACACTAAAGACAATGCTAATTTTGAATTGTAATTTTTTATTTATTTATTTACACATTACATTTAATATAATTGTGAGAAATATATTTTGCAAAGTAATCCAGAGCCAACGCTGCTCAAACACACACTCCAGCACAATACACGCAAAAGGCGGCCTTACAAACGCACATATTCACAAACACAAATACAGAGCGCAGCTTGAGTTTTTGTCAATGAATAAATACGTAAGGAAAAAACTCGTGCAAAAAATGTTAAGACTCAAACTGCGATAGCCTGTTCGTACCATGCTATGCTCGCAAACGCCCGATTGGAACTAAAAGCTTGAAAGTTGAAATACACACAGCTGATGCTGCTTGGCGCAAATTTGGCAAATTGAAACTTTAAAAGCTTAAATATAACAGCTGATTATAAAGGGCTTTCGTTTAATATCGATAGCAAAAGAACATCATTAGTAAAATACTATCGACTAGTCGTCGCTATGTTGTTTTTGTACATCACTATCAGAATACTGCTTCTTCTTTAATTCGTGAAATTTTTTGGATAACAAGATAAAAAGAATTTTGTGGCGAGAACCATAATGTCTCTGAAAATGCCGAAGTTTTATAAAATTGAGATTAATCGCACCGAATGGGAAATTCCTGAAACATACCAAAATCTTCAGGCTGTTGGGCAGGGTGCCTACGGACAGGTATGCAAGGCCGTGGTACGAGGTACCTCAACAAAGGTGGCTATTAAGAAATTGGCCCGTCCCTTTCAATCAGCAGTGCATGCGAAGCGCACATACCGCGAACTATGTCTGTTGAAGCACATGGATCACGAGAATGTCATTGGCCTGCTAGATGTCTTCCATCCAGGGCAGCCAGCTGATTCGTTAGATCAATTCCAGCAGGTCTACATGGTGACGCATCTGATGGACGCTGATCTAAATAATATAATACGCACGCAAAAGCTATCTGATGAGCATGTGCAATTTCTAGTCTATCAGATATTGCGTGGATTAAAGTATATTCACAGCGCCGGCGTCATTCATCGTGATTTGAAGCCCTCCAATTTAGCTGTAAATGAGGACTGCGAGCTGCGCATCTTAGATTTCGGGCTGGCTCGACCAGCGGAGAGCGAGATGACGGGATATGTGGCAACACGTTGGTATCGGGCGCCTGAAATCATGCTTAATTGGATGCACTACAATCAGACAGTGGACATTTGGTCTGTAGGCTGTATCATGGCTGAACTTTTGACGGGACGCACCCTGTTCCCAGGCACCGACCACATACACCAGTTGAATCTAATCATGGAGGTGCTGGGCACACCAAATGATGAATTTATGAACAAGATCTCGTCGGAGAGCGCACGCACTTATATACGATCGTTGCCCGTGATGCCGCGTCGAAACTTCCGCGACGTTTTCCGCGGTGCCAATCCACTGGCCATTGAATTGCTGGAAAAGATGTTGGAACTGGACGCGGAGAAACGCATTACAGCCGAGCAGGCCCTTGAACACCCATATATGGAGAAATGGCATGATCCCAGTGATGAAGCCACATCAACGCTCTACGATCAAAGTTTTGAGGAAGATGAAAATACTGTAGAGAAATGGAAGGAGATGGTGTTCACCGAAGTGCGACGCTTTAAGCCGCCACAGGCATTTGCCGAGCTCTTAGCGCAAGCTCAATAACAAACGCAAAACTAACAAGGGCTATAAAATAAGTTTTTTAGTTAATCACGAGTCGTCCCCAAATTGTTTTCAAAAAGTTCTATCGCAATTGTTTCTAAAACGACAGTCGTCACAGCCTTAATGTCCAGTTCAACTTCTTTGGTGTTGGTGTTTTACAATATATATGTAAATGTATGTATGTATACTATGGGTGATCCGTGAAAGGTCCGTGGATCTACTTTAAATAATTGCAGGACCTCTTACACTCTTTGTACATGTCTGTATTGTATAAATGTAAAATGTAAATGTATGTATATTTATGTACATGTCTGCAAAGTGCAGTCTGTAGATGATATAGCCATAGAGGAGCTATAGCTCTATATAAATAAAGAGAAAGCTATTGTATTTACAACAGTTCAGTCAACAGAACCAAATGTAAAGACTTTTTCAACGAAACCCATAATTGTTTTCCATTTTTAAGAACCGGTGTCAACTTTTATAATAGTAAATCCTCTAGATAACGCTCGAATTCCTGTTCTCTTGATGGTTGTTCCTTGCTTAGGTCCAGTTGTTTACTCCAAATCTGCTCGTCCTCAGCTGCATTTACAATGCTTGTGGCCTGTTGCTCTTCCTCTAACTCTTCGCCTTCAATGAGATCTTTCTCGCTATCTTGATTTATTTTGCGTCTCTTTTGCTTACGCTCATTATTACGTTCCTCTTTCGCTCTGCGCCTCTGTCGCTTATGTTCTTTTTTCTTAGTTCGATAGTTGAGTTGCTCCGTATGTACGGGACAAAGGCGCAACTGCAAAATATGTAAATTAATAGCCAGATCAATAAATAAAGAAAATGTAAGACACAGCGTATTGAACAATCTAGATAATTTACATTGAGTCTACCAACCTTGACTAATGCATTTTGTGGAGCACCTTCTTCGATATACTTAAAATTGACCTCCCAACTACGTAAACTTTCGCGTTCACCACAATGTCGACTGCCACATTGGAATTGACCTATGCCGGTAACCACCTCTTCTTCGGTTCGCCAGCGTAAAGCGATTTTATTCTCTTTGTAGCGCGTGAGATCGGCTATGCAATACTCTTTGAACAGTTTTCGATAGTAGCGTAAGGCCAAACGTTGCTCCCAGCTCAATGTGCGAATGTCGGCTGCAGCCTCCTCGTCCCAAAGAAAGCGATGATTCTCACGTATAACGTCAATATCCCGCTTATGCTTACGCGATTCACCTTCAGCAATAGAGGTCCGCACATAATGATTAAGAATATAATTGTGACGTTCCTTATCCGTAAAACTATCCAAATTAATAGGAAATATTGATTTGCTGCTCATTTTCTCAAAACAATCGAGCAATCGATAATATGAAACTCTCCCGATTTATGTGTAAACGAAAGCAGAATTGAGTTTTTTTAACAGTGGCGAACGACCAATCGTGGTCTAGCACTAAGTTAATAGTCTAAATCACTGACCAAAGAACACATAGATGAGACATGTAGAACAAACTTTTTCACCACCGAAAAAATGTGCATTAGGGACTACTCACCTTCGTAGTTGCTC